AAATAAATCAAACACCATGGATTGTGTAAAATTTTGGAATAACATGAAAACATGAATATATATATACATGTATGTGACTTCAGTTCTGCATATACTTCCAAAATATAAAGCACGTGGTCTAATGGTTATGCTTCCACTGTAGGTTTATTTCCCGATCCTCTCTTTTTTTTTTTTTTTTTTAAAATACTTTTTTTTTTTACTAAATGATAGTATTCAGCACGTGAAATGAAAAATTTATGAGGTTATAAAATCATCATTACAGTGTGATAAATATTCCATATAAAAAATCTTCTATACACATAATAAAGAATAAGCAATCAAATCTTTATATTTTGACATACATGTATTGTGTGTGTGTGTGTGTGTATACATTTAATAATTCTACAAATTCAGAAGGGGGACAACATTTTTCCCTAAAACGAATTCTCTGAATTAGCTTGTTGGTATTTAACACCATTTGATTTTTGGAACACCAATTTTCAATCTCACACAAATCAAAGTTTAGGGCATTCTCAATGCCTTCTATATTTTTATGATATGTCTGTAAGGTTGCATCATAGGCAAACATATCAATATCTGTTCTATTTGCATGTAAAGGGAGACCATTTTTATACAATAAAAATAATAGGGGACCTAAGATAGATCCCTGGGGCACTCCTGCTGTGACGGACAAAAAATCAGAGGAATATGTTCCTATTTTTACACACTGGGACCTTGAGGTTAAAAAAGAATAAAACCATTTAATAGCCATTTGATCAAAGTGATGAGATTGAAGTTTACTTATAAGTATATCATGATTAACCAAATCAAATGCCTTGATAAAATCAATGAAAGTTATGCCTATAAAAATAGCTTGTAGCCAATTATCTGTAAGTTTTGTAAGAGCCGTTTGACATGAATGAAATTCTCAAAATCCAGATTGTGATTTAAATAAAAGATCAAAGTAAGAGGCAAAGTTACGTATTTGATTGGCCATGTGTTTTTCAACTAATTTTGATAATGTTGGAAGAATGGATGTCTGTCTGTAGTTCCCTGGATCTGCGTGGTCGCCGTTTTTGAAAATAGGAGTGACTTTTGCTTGTTTTAATTAAACGGGATGGAAATACTCCATTAGTGATGCTAGCATTTATAAGATGTGTAATAGATTTGCATATAACATTTGCCGAAAGTTTTAGAAGACGAGGTCCGATAAAGTCTATACCGGCTGACTTGTTTACATCAAGTGTATTCAACATATCTAATACTTCAAATTCACCTATTTTATTAATACTGAAAACATTTTCTTTCCCTAGTTTAGTTTCTGTATATCGATTTAATAATTCTGAATCAAAACTATCTGCTAATAATTTACACTGACAGACGTCGATAATGCATATACTTCGTAGCGTAGTGGTTAAAGCGGTCGGTCTTGGACAAAACCCTGTCCTATGGAGAAACGTGAAGCTTTTTCTTGTTTTTTTATTTCAAATATATTAAAACAGTGAAACACAGAATTAAATGTGTAAAAGATGATATAAACCATATATAATTTTAAAAAATATAACTTTTAGAATTGAGAAATGTCTTTTTTCAGAGCGGGGGATTGTCCTCGCCTTGGACGCCTCCATTCTTAAATTTAATCGTCATAAAGTATGTTGCATGTCGGTTGAAAAAAATCAACACTATTCAATTTGACACAGAAATAATCAAAAGAGTTGCATTTTTTGGGGGGGGGGGGGGTGGGGTGGGGGGGGGCGGGTTAGTTTAGGTGGGGATATTAAAGTAAATCACTTTTTTCAAGAAAACTTAATTTTTGCGTAATTACGCGAGTTTTCTCGCAGAGATATTCTTGCAGTTATTGATATTCCTTCAGAATTTCGTGAAAATTTTGTCTCGCTAATAAAGAAATAATGACTATTTTGCGAAAATAAGGTTTCGCGAAATTAAAGTGAACTACAGCAATGACATCAGTTTTTGAATATGGAATTTCTCCTCGAGTAAATGACCAACGATCTTTGTGGTACTCTGTAGGACAATGAAGACAAGAGCAAATTAAGGGTTACGTCTTGTATTTTGAGCAACTCGCAATAGAATGTACAAAAAATGTCTTGCGAGCGCGTCACAAAAAATTGGCTTTCCTACAGTCAACCAATGAGAATTCATAAAATCTGATCACATGATTAACAAAACTTTCTTTGTCCGAAAACCTGTTCTTAAGGTTCATAAACCCTCTGCTCACTCATATAAAATTTTTCTTTAACTTTTATGATTTTCCAAAGGAAATGTATATGATGTATATGCTGAATAAAAAACAAACATTTATAGCATGGCTTGCGGGGCAAAATTTGACAAAAAATGCACTTCAACTTGACAAATTTATAAGGGAATAATAGACATTTGTGTCATTAAGAGTTATCTCTCTTATCAGAGTATCAATGTACCTTAATTTAATTTACTCAGATGCTTACGGCAAGAGTCGCACTAATAAAGAGTTAATGACTTTTTTTTTAATGGAAAAAAAAATAAAGTGTTAATACCTCGAAAATATAAAAGTCAAACACATTATGTCGTTATTTGCAGCAGATTGAACGTATAAAGAATGGCCCTATTCGGTATGATAAATATACACAAGGCGAATAGGGCCATTCTTTAAACGTGAGAAAAAGTACAATCTGCTTAGAAAAATAAAGACAAGAGCAAATTCAGGTTTACGTCTTGTATTTTGAGCAACTTGCAATAGAATGTACAAAAAATGTCTTTCGAGCGCGTCACAAAAAAATTGGCTTTTCTACAGTCAACCAATGAGAATTCATAAAATCTTATCACATGATTAAAAAAACTTTCTTTGTCCGAAAACCTATTCTTAATTTAATTTACTCAGATGCTTACGGCAAGAGTCGGTCTCATTGATGGTTTACAGGTTAATTTTCGTTAATCGCTTGTATAAACAATTACCCAGTTAAAAAGTGTCATGACATCTTTTCTTACATCTACCTTGACAGGAAATTAGACATACGTGTTATTTGCTTATTTACCAAGTAAAGCTTAATTGATAAGAATGTGAAGTGAAATGACAAAATATCTAGTAATAAGGCATTTTTCTTCATAAGAGATTTGTTTACAAAAGTCAAAAGAAATAAAACTAGTAAATTTATAAATAATTATTCTAAATTGTAGAATTTAAGAGTATATAATTGATTAATTTAATATCCACATATTTAACATCAAAATTTAATAAAAAATGGTTTTGAATTTACCGGGTGGGAGTAAATACAAAATTTAGAACATGACACTATGAAAAAGAATATTACAATGTTATATCTTGTTCCACAAAGAGAAGAACCTTTTTATCGCAATAGATCCAGGTAAACAGATGATTGCAACAGTATTTTTTTTTTCATTCTTAGGCCCTACCAATCATGTATCGATGAAAAATATGTCGACCTTGGCATAATCTTGCTTCGAAAGAGTGGGGTTGGGGCAGAATCACATCCACCCTTGGAATTTTCAGAGTTTTAAATTTTCTATACATGTAAAAGTAACGAGAAAATAACCTTGGACAACTCTTGGAAATCCGGACCCTCTATGATGGTTAGGAGGGTATGTCTAAACCCATCCACCCCCTTGAATTAAATAGCTTTTGAATTGCAAGGTTTGGGCGAAAGATGATTTCTATTATCGGTCAATAATTTCTTGGTCTAAAATTTCAGATGATCCAACCCGGTGGTTCTTGGATCCGCCCTTAAATTAACCTGTCAAAATTATTTCTAGTGATACTGTCTTATTGAATCTATGAAAATTTCATTAGTTTTTACATAAAATAAATACTAGATTACTCTCTTCTTTAAAAAAAAGTAGATTGGTGTTACACTCACTAATATACATATACATATGCATGTATTAATTATCTATGCGTAAATATATTTGAATGAACAGCAAGGGAAAATGCAAACATGTCAAAACAGTTAGTGATTAATGGAATGTATGTGTTACGAAATACTGTTTTGGATTCTCCAAAAAATAATTACGTAGGCGGCAATTGAAATAATTTTTTGATAGAACATTTGCAATTTCATCATATTTTAAATTATTATTTTTATGCGGGAACAACCATCAACAATGAAGAACATCGGCGAATAAGAAGAGAAAATGCCCATGTTCGACAAAAATATGAGAGTAAAAAATTTAACCCCGATTATGAATGAGTAGAAATTAAATTTCATCTCAGTCATGTATAATTGACACAACTGAATCTTTTTTTGTTTTGTTTTTTATCCCCCCCCCCTTTGTTCAATGAATAGATCCAACGAGACCGCAAATTTACTTTTCTTTCTCCAAAACTAATTTTTAAACATTTTTCTGCAGGAAAGTATTTTCTAGTATCAGTTATATATCTAAACAAAATATATGTCTATCAAAATTATATGTGTATTAAAATGATTATTAAAATGCCCTGTTACATATGTACATGCCTTGATGAGCTTTGTTTTTCAATGTGTAGAAAAGAACCTATGATATTTCGCGTGAAAATACGCGCCAAAATATTGTGTTGCTATGTTTGTTTTGAACATATTTTGCATTATAAATGCCCGATTTTCCCATTTTTCTTAAACAAGATAATTGACATATAATAAACAAAATTATCATAGAATGCCATGGTTTTAGACCAATCGATAGGTCACTGCACGTGTTTGTCCACCAGCACACTTTTGATAGTGTATCCTGTTCAGATCTTGTTTGGCACAAATAGACATCTGTTACAGATTACACACGGATTAGTAAGAGGCTTTAGGAAGGGAAATCTAGAAATATGCCACAAATTAATTATATTTTTTATTGTTCAAAACAATTTATGTAAATTGCCTCACCATGCAAGAGGCATGTCGGAATGTTGTTTGACGACGCGGTCGCTTTGCCCGTAGACATCCATCACTTACAATTTAATGCGCTATTGTTGGATGACGTATTATCCCCAGGGGGGATCTCGCATCTTTTTCCAATCTCTCTCTCTGACTTCCGTGCGCATGCGTTCATTTTCCCGGGGCGTTGGCTGTACAAGTAGACAAAACTTTTATTACAGACAATCGCATCTAATTTGCAAAGTTTGTAAGTGGTTGCAGAAAAACCAACATCAATCAAAATGTCCGGAGAATGGCAGCACGGATTGTTTGGATGCTTTGACAACTTTGGTCTGTGTTTAATGTCCTATTTTGTACCGTGTTATCAATTCGGAAAGAATGCAGAGTCGGTGGGAGAATCGTGCCTACTGTGTGGTGTAGCTCTCCTAGTACCTCTAGTAGATATCTGGGCCGCTATCAGCATCCGAGGAAAAATCAGGGAATCTAAGGGAATTCAAGGGAGCTTAATGGGAGACTTGTTGACTTGGTGCTTCTGTCCCTTGTGTGCTCTAGTCCAGGAAGCTCAGGAAATCCAGGGCATGAGCCCCCAGTCCATCGCCCGGGAGTAGGGGGGACGCGCGCCTGTGACAGTGAATGAATGATATTTCTTAAAAAGTTCTAGTTTGTGAACAAATGGAGGATTATTCACATTTATCGATCAGATTGTAGTGAAAGTTTTCTGTAGCGTTGCTTGAGGTTGACAGTAATATTCTTGCCATGTGCAGAGATGGATGTGTGGCCTGCAAATTAGGGTCAGGGGCACCCACGGGATGATAAGATGTGAAATAACGAGTAGAAAGATTATAATGTATTGAAATTGCATGCCTTAACTTTGCTTTTATCAATTTATAAATAACTTTAATATCTTTGTCAGTAGTTCATGTATATGTGTTCCTTTTATATACGTATATTTGTAAGATTATCATCAGTAATAAATACTATCGTTACTTTATATCTTATTCTTAATTATTAATCAAAATGAAGGGCTAATTATTCTGATTTTCGTACGTTTTTTATCTTATGTGTTTATTTTCTTTTGTTTTGACTGATTTTTATTATTATTTTTGAACAAATAATATTTATATTCGTGTATATGAAAAATTGATAAAAACGACGAATACGCGACTATATTCTTTAATAACGAGGATCAAGCCACTTAACACTTCAGTTTGTCGTTTTGAGCCGTATATATATCTTGTCAGTTCCGGACTACAACCCTTCCTCTAGTGTTTCCTATTCATATTTACATATACTGCAAAATGCTCTTATTTGAAGTACAAAAAAACATGTCATATTCTACAAGTCACTGAAAAGCACTTACGAAGACGTACATGTACGTGAAAATGAATTGCACTAGGGCTTGTGGTGAATTAAAACTTCCAAAAAATTACTTAAAAAAGAATTTCATAACTATAACTGCAGGATGTACTGATAAAATCCGCGGCCCCAGGGTTCACACAGCAGTCTCTCCCGAAGGATATCTAAAGCACTGTCACTGTTAAAATCGTTCTCAAAGGCGATGTGTACTGTACCCTGAGGTTAAAATGGAACACTAAATGTGTTTTCGATTTATGTTATATCGTGTTGTAAATTTTGAATTTTCTAGGGGAAGATGTTATCATGTAAATTTTGCATTTACATCCCCTTAGAAAATTGAAAATTTACAACATTTTTAATAGAAAACTCAAAATCAACAGGATTAATTTTGAATAATTTTGATACAAGTTATATCTTTAAAAAAATATATAGGTTTCTGTCATTATTTCTAAAAATATATAAGTACAGAAAAAATTCTCTTGGTTCATCAAATTTCAGCGAATGAGGGCAATTCCCAGTTAACCTTGGACTTTCAGTAAGGCGCGGTATTCTCGACGTTACATAATTAGCTTCTGAAAATTACACAGCTTTCCTTCACTGTTGAAATAAACAAAGGATAGAAATTCGGCCGAATGTCAACTAGTATAGAAAATAACCAAGTAAAAGTTCTCGCACGGCACAAAGGCGAGGCTTAAGTTGTCTCATCGTTTTTAACAACAATTTAAAGTTCCTGATTTTTATACGCCCGTCTTAAGACGGGACGTATTATGTTATAGGCTTCGTGTCCGTCCGTCTGTCCGTCTGTCTGTTAGCTTTTTCGTTTCCGGCTCATAACTTTAATACTACTAGGTCTAGGATTATCAAACTTTGTCATCTGATGCATCTTGGGTAGAAGGTGTGTCGCGCACAAAAAGTAGGTCGCTCTGATCTTTATTTAAGAAGTTATAGCCAAATATGGAAAAATCCTTTCCGGCCCATAGCTAGAAAACCATAAGACCTACAATCATCAAACTTGGCCAGTTTATGCATCTTAGGTATAAGGTGTGTCGCGACCTATTTCAAGGTCACTGTGACCTTTAATTTAAGTGAATTTAAAAAAAAAAAAGTGTCTTTTTACTATTCATTTACACATTCCAAATAATGTAAGAGTATTGCACTGTCCTTATTAAAAAAGTGTTAAATCAAGAAAATACTTTTTTTTTTAAGCATATACTTGACAGCAATCTATAACAAATATAATGTATGTCAGAGAAATCCTGCCTCTCCCATGAGTGTAATTATCAAGCACTGGTCAAGAAGAATTTTGATAACAGAAAATTGCATGTCAAATTAGAGAGAAATTAATGGGTTTGAGTGCGAGGAGCTAACATTGGTGTTATCTATATCCCTTGAGTATTGGGCAAATGGGTAAGCCTGTTTGATTAAAAATAGCTCTTGTTGACTAGCTTAAGTTTTAAAATGAATTTGATGAAAAGTAATTAAAACTAATTTGATATTGCATAATAGACTAATCTGATATGTAATATTATTAATTTAAAAACTAATTTTTTGGGGTGGGGTGGAATCAGCATGTCCATATGAATTACATATTAAAAAATTAAATCTCAACCAAAAAAAAAATCTTTGAGTATTTTATTAAAAATATATAGTGCAGACCCATTCATCTCTTGGTAGTAAAATATATAAGCATCCAGTTAAAGATTAATTAATGAGTTCAATGTAGGAAGGCTAGCTGTCTCAGTCGCTCTGATTAAGCAGTGACCTGTACCCTCTGTACCCTTTGGGGATTAGACAGAAGAACTGCTGGTCAGTTTATAACATATGTCATTTGATGGCCAGCCTTTTCTTTTCAAAACTAATTTGGTATAGATTAAGTTGTTAAGACTAATTTGATGATGGGCATTTGACAAGGTCTAACACAACCAGCACAGAAATCTATCAGTGATGTAATATTTATTATAATTGATGCCTACATCACAGGGGATGGATAAATATTTTAAGGAATGGAAAAATCATCGAAATCTTAGAATCAAGGTTGATGTGATTTTTTTGCACCTAAACTGTTCAAGAAAATTGTAATTTTTTGACGGGCGTATCATGCTGTGGCGTGACACTTTATTTTTACTTCTTAACCAATGAGAATCCATTCGCCATTTGACAGACGCTTATTACGTTGCGCCGAGCAAGCCACGCCTTGCTGAAAGTCCAAGCTTACATGAGAACTTTACAACAACAAAGTAAACAATATCGTCCGATGGACCCAGTAAAGCTCGTATATACATGTACTGTGGTATAAAGTCGGGTAGATTTATTATGTAAATTCAATAGGGAACACTTTTCACAGGCATAATCTACAATCGGAAATCCTCGGATGACTCCGCTACGCTCCATTCAAACCTCGAGGTTATGTGTGAGGTACGAGTCATCCGAGGAACTCCGAGTGCATAATCAATGGACAATATTAAACCTCATATCATTCCGATACAGTATGACTTTTTAAAGGGGGGGGGGGGGTAGATAAAAAAAATGCCTCCTGAAAATCTCAAAATTGTTGATCACGAAAAAGCAATCAACCTAGAAAAAAATCTTTCTTTAGCTTTAGTGACAAACGTGGTTGCAACTGATTTCACAATAAGGTTGGGCGCATATATTATTCTAGTAATACCTGCAACATTGCATGACACAAAAGGCGGATACAGCAACAGAGGGGGTCCAGATCACCCATCCGTCCTCTTGAGAACCCCAAAAGACACGAGCAAAAGATGTGGAATGTGAAAGAGCCTAAACGATCATATACCCCCCCCCCCTTCACAGACGTCCGAATCCGCTTAGACACATATCACAGTTATATAAAAGTAAAATAAAAGTTAAATGATGATAATCTTTTCCCAGACTTTCCATTACCTATTCATTACTCTGCAGGCGGGGCTCTAGTTTTCGTGGGGGTGGGTGGGGATTAGGGTGTGTGTGATTTTTAATACTGCATATGTAAATCTGACTTTCCATACCATTTCCACATAGTTCCGCGTTTCGAGGAGGGGTCCACGTCTTCTAGGGAGTGGGTGGGTTCCAAGGTCACTTTTGCTTTGTTTAGTACATACATTTAATAAATCTGCAAATTCCAATGGGTGGGTGGGGGGGGGGGGACCCCGACCCGCCTTTTAAGTCCGCGCATGCTCTGACATGTACGATGTAGCATCGGTTTACAAGGTTGACAACTAGCCCCCCCCCCCCCCCCCCAAAAAAAAAACGAGAAAAAAAAATCTTTTTTTCGCGGAACTTTCTCTTTCCGAGAAAAATATTTTTTATGCCTTAAATTGTATGCATTTAACCAAGGACAAAAAGTCGAACCTACTGAATAAAGAATGAATCTCCATAAATAGGTAGAAGAAGGACAGGGTCCCTCTTTGATACCTCTCATCTTATACTGACATGTATTACTTCAATTACTGAGGGCTCTCGATAGGGAAATTAGAAAATTACTGAATATGATTACACATAGACAGTCAAAATTTACACACAACAGGTTATTATAGAACTGCCTGATTGAAAGACAGAGTAAGAAATAGTCAAACTGGAGAAAACCATAGATATAATATTTATGATACACAGATTAATTTATCATCGGTAAATCAGGGCAATGCAAGCCTTTTGTTGGAATATCAAGAGAGTATATTACAAATAATTCTTCGATTTCACTATTGAATATTCATTTTTTATTTATCTGGTAAATAAGTAGCTTTTTTCATCTAGACATTTAGAATGATACTAAGTTATATATACTTTTCCTCTCTTTTAATCATGTTTATAGATACTTACACTTTTAAAATACATGTAACTCATGAGAAAATGGTCTTCCTCTTTAGATTGATTGAAATTATTGTATAATTTTCTCCTATTCACTTAATCTCTTTCCCCCAATTATTATTTTTCAAGGTTTCAATTTCTTTTGACAATTCGCGGGTAAATACTGCTAAACCACGTGGATCCAGTTTGTTTACGCATTGCTAAGAGGATAGAAACAAGCATGCGCAATAATTTATTTACATCCGGGATTATCGCGCGAGATTAAACAAGCACCCGAAGAAGAAGGGACGAAAGTAAAAATAGGAGGAACTTATTTCGAAAATTGTTGTGTCCCCAAAAGTTAATAATGTGATTTTGTGATGGGATAACATTACATTAGTTATGTGAATAGTTTGTTATTCATTTTCGTCTAGTGTTTTGTGTTGTTTCGTGTTTTTTGTGACAATATTCTTTTGGTACCCCCGGGTGCAAGCCGGTCTTGCAAAATAAACCCGGAATGAAATTCGCATTTCGTTTGTTTTTCGTTGTGATATGCTGGTCATATGCGCAGAATGTTGTTAATGGTAAGTTGAAATGAATGACGACATAATGTACACTTTAATCAGAGACATGTAAAAATTTTCAGAGAGAAATGAACAACAGGGCCCCAGAGTGACAGTCGATGCTGTACAGGAGGATAGTTCGAAATAACCACGTTATCAATTAAAAAAAAACCCAGCATATTTAATGTGTCAAGCAGTGGCTGTCAGTGAGGCACTTTCCTTGCTGTATTATGTATACATGACACTTCAAATATCAAAATTATCAAAAATCCTTGAGATGTAAGCTTTTTTTTTTTTTTGAGAAATGAAGAGGGAGGTATAGTTGTATATTTTTTTTCTTCTATGGTTAGAAAAAGGCTATTTAACTATAGGTGTATTAATTCAAATGTTAGCATCCCATTTGGGCCTTAATCAGTGTTAATTAAAGGGAATGAAATTACCTATTAGAATAGACTTGCAGATACTTTAGAATATACTAAGATTTCCATGCTTATGAAATGGTAAAAATTATGAAACACATAGCCTGGCAACCAATTCTATGGACACTTTTTTTTTTTTAAGAATTCTGAGGCATATGTCAAACCAATGAGGCTTAAAATACAGTTTTTTTCCATAATTTCTTTTTTTGATTTTTTAAATCTTTTTACATTTAGGGAAGAAGCTTGTTATTTCAGCTGTTTATACTTTTAATTACATGAGTCCTTTTATACTCTTTACTAAAAAAATGTTGATTTTTTTTTTTGAATTTTCTCTAAAGTATTTAAATCATTTGTAAATCATCATATGGTAAATATACATGCAGTTGTTTCAGTTTTAATTTATTTAATATATTGGGAAAAAAACTAAAACATCAGCTGGAAGGGTAAACCAAACATGCTGTAAATAAATTTCTATTTGCCAAAACTTTATGTTGACACATAATTGTCTTAGACTTTGCTCTTCATTCTCACATTAATTTTTTAAATATATTAATATTTATACACATTGATTAATTATTAAGATAGCAAGAATCCAATATATATTTACAGGCACATGATTTTAGTCCAGAACTTGATAGAAAACATAGATTAAATAAAGAGAAACTTATTCATTTAAATCTAAATGCTGCAAATATATTTTATAATTTATAAGATTTTTTTACTCTCTATTTCCATGTCCCTACCTGTGGAATCAAGATCTTTATTACATTAATTTTGCTTTTTTTTTTTTAGGTCAATGTAATTGTGCCACGGATTGTGCGACTAACTGTGCGGCTGGAACCCACTATGACTCAGGATCTTGTGTGACCTGTCCTCAGGGACACTAGTAAGTCTTTACATACCGGTACTCTAACTCTATCAATTGTACTTCAACCACTGGGGGTGGGAGGGGGGAGAGGTTGAAGTTATAGGGATTGGGAACACCCAGGAAAATAGAATGAATGTTGGAGTCAGTGCTGTATTTTACTACATGTATTATCCTTTGTGTGAAATAGATAGGATGTGAATGAACTGAAGGATAATAATTTATTTTTTGTTTCATTTTATTTCAATTCACTAAGTATGACACTTTTTGTTATGAGTTCACTTCAGGAGTGATATTGAAATCCAGATTTTTGTAATGTTATAAATTGAAAGTAACTGAAATGACAGTATCCACATTTTATCATGTTCAAATGTTATTATAGGTTTAAAAAAAAACATGATTTGTTAGTGATCTTTTATAATTTGATTGATTTCTGTAAATTCATATCAGTAGCAGCATCTGACAAATAAATGAATTGTACATAATTCCATTATCACTTTAACATTAAAAGTAAAAATGAATATTGAAATGAGTACACATGTACCAGTATTTCATAATTTCAATGAAACATGGACAACATTTGCTTTTTAAGATTCCTGGAGAAGTGCCAGTAGAATATAAAAAGTCAGTCTATCCAATTTACTTATCCATTATTTATTTTAAACTTCAGGTTCTGTGAATGTTGTTTGGTAGAAAAATTAAGTGTTAATTGTATATATTTACCAATGCACTGTAAGAAATTTAAAAGTCCCAGACATTTCAACATTTTATGTGCATCTGGATTGCAGATTACTGTAATGCCAGAAAAAAAGACTATTTATTTTATGTTTCAGATATTTGTGATATAGCTAAAATTTTTGTCATCATAATGGTTTAAAGAAGCTAAAACTCAGTGATATTTTCCCAAGCATACAGTATTGCACATTTCAAATATACATGTAATTGCATGAATATAAGCAATAATTCATGATATAAATATGAGAAAATTAAACCTATAAAGAACAAAATTTCATATATACTCAAATCTTAACTGGTCTGGCCAAATTTTTTTAAATTCATTAAGTAATTTACCAAATATTTCCTTTACCAAAGTTTGACCCAAGCTCGGATTACTTGTGACCTTCATCTTCTTTTCAACATTTGACAGACAAGGCAGTAGAATATTAAAGATTGCATGTTGCCAGTCTTTTGAAGGAATAAGATTTTTCACTTTAATTACTTAGAAATCTTCACCTAGGTTGCTATTCAAATATTGTATATCTTCAAGGTAAACAGATCTTTGACTTTTATGGAGATAATTTATGTTGTGAAAACATTTGACGTCAGCTTTAGCCCAGCCTTTTACTTAAGGTGTTGTATAAGTAAAGACCCCTGGTATTTGAAACATTATAAAATGACAGAGTTATACTGTTAAAAAGTTCTAATGCGTAGAATACACAAGACAAATTTTCAATAATTGAGTAAGTAGAAGGGTCAGATTTCAGAATTTTGTATCGCCCAGGGATTTTAAACCCATAAACTGCATATTGAGAAGCATGCTTAATCTATAAAATATCCATGCAATGTGAGAATTGTACATTGTGTCCCTATTGATATGTATTATTTAATTTATTGATTGGTGTGTATCAAAGAACAATATTTCAAATGTCATTTTATCAATAAAGGGTTTAAAAATAAGAGGAATAAAAGTTTATGCAAATATCTGATTTATTTAGGAGAGGGGTTTTATTTAGAATTCATTAATATATTAAAATATTTTCCCACATGCACAGATAATTTTTTTTAATTGGTTCATCAGAAGTTGCTAAAACTTAAAAAGTCTTATGTTTATATAGATACATGTAGTTCGACATTTATGAATTTTTATACATATAAAATTATTAATATGCAATCAGAATTTAGCTGAAAGAGAAAGAAAGAGAGAGACAGAGCACGCACTGTATCAGATTCTGTAGTAAACTATATATTTAATTATTGATTTATCATTACAGCATTAATAACTCTCATGTAGTACATACTTCTATACTTGTACTTATGCTGTGTTGAATTAATTATTAACATTCACTCAGCAAACAAACATTTATATTTGCAAAAATGCAAAAGAAATCAATGACATGAACTAAAAGAAACATTTATAGTGATCAGGATACTGTAAAGCAACTTTTATTCACGACAACTTTATATCACAATTTACAGGGGATATACTTGCCTGCGACGATTAATTTTCACAATTATAAGCCTGATCTGTTGTTGCAATTGTAATAGACACAGAGACTTTAAGAATTGGTTTGCGGTGAGAAATATTTTTGATGATGAGGCTCTCGCAAATTTCTCAAAAAATTTCTCGCACATGAATAAAAGTTGGTTTACAGTATATTATCATTGCAACATTTTTTATTTAAATGAAATAATTTGTTCATCCAAAAATAAACAAAGGATTTACTTCAATTACTTCAGAATATCATCACAGCTCAAAATCTTTTCTGAAAAGATACTGGAAGTTGATTAGGGGTAGGGGGATAAAATAAATGCCCTGTTCACCTGTAAAGTTTAATTCAAATTGAATGTTGCTGCAAAACAAATTTTAAAGGCATTTACAGCATTTTTTTATTTTTATTTAATGTGAAAAAGTTAGGAGGAGGAAATAAAAAAAAAAAAAATTAAAATTTATTTATTGTGCATTAAATTACTTTGCATTACACTGAGTACAAAGGGGAAAATACAACCTTTAATTGTTTATTTCATCATCTACCAGTTGGGGGCAGTGATATAAATCTTTTGATGTTCAAATTTTTAAAAAAAAAAACAATTTTTTAACTCTCTTTGAATAAAATTTTGTTTTTAATGTGTGTTGTAATGGTAAATATAATATAGTCATATAAAAGTAATAATTCCTTTCATGACAGTGGTCAGATATACTAGAACTTAAACTATTTCTTAGTGAAAAACAAAGGAAAATGATGTTAATCACTGTGGTATGAACATTTGTAGGATCTTCTCTGCACAAGGTGACATGATTAGAAAATGATGTCAGAATAGCCTCACTGATAAGTTAAATCCAGAAATAAATTTTAAATTCGCATTACTTTTACTTCACATTACTTTGCAACTGTCGCATTTTATTGTGTGAATGGGTGAAACGTTTAGTTGGCATTAGTAAATTACATTAAACCAAGCTTTAGTGCTTTGATTATTTTACCTTGCATAAAGCCATTGAATGTTAAAATTAGATTTTATGAAATAAAAATAAAAAAAGTCATGAATCAAGTGAAAAGTAATTAAAATTTATTTATTTCATTAAATTACTTTGCATTAAGTTCACCAGGGAATCAAATTTACTTAATTTGAATAAAATTTTGATGCTTTTGTAATGGTAAAATTAAGTCATATGTCTCATGACAGTGGTCAGATCTCTCTCTCTCTCTCTCTCTCTCTCTCTCTCTCTCTCTCTCTCTCTCTCTATATAAGGTGACATGATTAGAAAATGATGTCAGAATAGCCTCACTGATAAGTTAAATCCAGAAATAAATTTTAAATTCGCATTACTTTTACTTCACATTAGCTGTCGATTGTGTGAACGAAGTTTAGTTGGCATTAGTTTAATTTGATTATTTTACCTTGCATAAAGCCATTGAATGTTAAAATTAGATTTTATGAAATAGTCATGAATCAAGTGAAAAGTATCAAATATTTCATCTATTTCTTCTCAGTTAAGTTCACCAGGGAATAAGTCATACATAAGGATTCAAAGTAACTTGGGCTTCTCTCTCTCTCTCTCTCTATATATATATATATATTGTATGGTAAAGACTTGTAACTGTGGAGTGGGAGTTGTTACTTATTTGTCAATTTTATCAGGGATCAGAGCATTTACAGTGTATGTAGGCTTAAGGTAGCTCTGCCTTAGACACTTAGTTTTATGCATACACTCCATTAAGACTTGTTACTTGTTTGTCATTTTATCGGGGATCAAATCACACACATACACTGTAGTGTAGGCAGGCTTAAGGTAGCTCGAACACTTTTAACTTTAAAGAATACAATTAAAGTGAGACTTACTTATTTTACAGTTGTCCTGGAGGAGCCAGTCCCAAAACAGCATGCCCGGGAGGAAAGTACATGGACACAACGGGAAGTGACCAGCTCTCCGACTGTAAGGTGAGTAAACTCGAAACGGGGGAATGACAGAATAAGATGGTACATTATGAAAAACATATAGCTTCATTTTTTATGGACTTAGCATAAAAGGATAGCTAGTCTTCTCTTTTTATTGCATTAAATTTTACTAAAAAAATCCTAAAGATGTTATAATTTAATTGTTAGTGTTTTTATATAGAACTTATGGATGCTAAGGTTACAGAAATTCATACTTCTCAGATTTTGTGGGCAAAAATACCCTTTTGCATGTAATTCTTGTATGTCTTTCATAACGTATCATCATACTTGTAGATTGTGCTCATAATTAAATTCTTCTTCCTAATTATTATTATCTTAATGGTTGTTAGTTTCATCAGCATCTTTTAAGCAAATATTTATTCAACTCTACAGGAATTGTTTTACTTAAACACCGTATAAGTGGAAATTTTAAGCGAGAAGTAATTTTAGCAATTTTAAAATGTTAACTAAAGAAGCTATTACAAGTAATACACAATTAATTTTTAGCGATATTCAATTTTAGCAATGTCAGCACTCTAGCTAGTGATGCCAAAATTAAATCCTCGCTAAAAATTCTACTTATACGATAATTTTTTTTTATTTTTGACTCTGATGTTAAAAAAAGAAAGTGAATCAAAGTAATGACAAAAAATTTAGAACATATCTTTTTTGCAACATACTTCAAATCAAATGTTACTAAGAATGGATGTGAGGTTTACCTAGGGCCCATTTTAAGAGCATCTCTTAGGAGTCATTTTCCTTTACAAAAATGTTTTTGTTGCAATTGGTTCAATTCTTGCAAAAATATGCAACAATTATTCCTTTTAATAGACAATGTATTTTAACTCAAAAAATCCCCAATATTACTTGTTTAAGTTACATGAGCGATACACATTTGAGCTAAGTACATGTATGTCAATGGTAACAGTCTATCCATTGTATATACTGCTTGTGTGATAGAAGCAAATGTTGTGACAAATTGATTTCAATTCTCATCCTTTATGGATCCTCCTTTATTAAATGCAATACTTAGTTTCCCATTATGTGGATCTGTAGTCCAGTCAAGGATGCTGAATTTGCATGTGATAGATATAAATCTTGGTCTCTGGTCTCCCTAGTATTCACCATCAGATATTGGAAATCTGATCAGGGGGGACATTGATAGAAAGGTCAGATGCTTTTAACAGATTTAAGAAGAGAATACCAAGGCTCCAGTAATGGGAATTGCAAGCACCCAAAGCTATCTCCCTGTTGACATATGAAATGAAAAATTCTGGGTTTTAGTACAGAAGTCGATCAGTAGAACTAGTCATTTTAATTCATGCATACTGTAGCAAATTTTATGGTTAATATAGCAGTTTTTGACATTCATATTGTGGACAGCTGTGCAGAAAAATTTTATTAATACGTAGAATTCAATACTTATGCCTGTACATGTATTTACATTATTTTATTGATTTCATGGCAAATTGATAAAATGCTGCTTATTTGATAAATAAATCATCACTGTTTGCCTGATACACACTGCTCTTAGATAGCAACACTGAGAGAGCAATCATGACTGTTCAGTGTGAGGGTGACTTTTGATATTGGTTTAGGATGTTACATTGTATTGCAATCAAAGTTTGTAACTTCAAAGTAAAAATCATGACTAAAAAAACCATTTTGACTTCTCCTTTTAGAAAAAAGTGCATTGATGTCAAGTAACTTCATGTAAATATGGACCATAATATCATGGCTTATAATTCTATAATCAGTTCAATATTTATATGAATGGTGTTTTCATCTATTGCAAATATGAACATTAACATTATTTTTTTTTTGAAAATTGATATAGTAATATACAATTTTGCAAACAAAAAAATTCCAGGTGAGGTGTCTTTTTCAAAGTTACATGCTCATATTGCTTTAAACAATAATAATTTGCCATAAATTCTTTAAAAGTATAATAATAATGATCCTTTCAATTTCTTATGATTTCAAGAAAATATCAGGATACACAGTTTGTTATAACCGCATATAATATTTTATATTCTTGTTTCATTTTCATTTTAACATTGTGTTTTGAGCTACATGTATGAAGGGTGAGCAACTTGTTTTCTCTGTGTATTTAATAATTACTATTTGTAGCAATGTGCAGCTATTGTTTTTGACTTCCAAAAGAGACCTGTTATGATTACCGGTAAGAGCACTGGTACATGTACAATTGAAAATTTTTTCAAAATAAAAATATTGTCTCCTTCATTACTTTACAGACATGTGTGGCAGGAAAGTACAGCAGTGCAGGGTCAACGACATGCCTCAACTGTCCCGCTGGAAAATCCTGTGGGGCGGGGACAGAGACCCCCTCAAACTGTAATGCTGGTGAATACTCCCTACTGGGAGCCTCTAGCTGCACGCCCTGCCCTATAGGCTCCATGTGTACCGCCACTGATCAGGGTCCAACACTGTGTACAGAAGGATTTTACACATCTTCAACTGGTAAGTTTTAAAAGTAGATTAAATGTATAAAAAGTACAATTTGTAAAAGTCATATCAACAAAGGGGCCAGTACATGTACCTGATTTTACTTGACTAATTGTATATAATGATCAATAAAATAAAGTAAAACATCAAGGTTCCCCAATAATAGTGATAAAAAGAATCAAAATGCTGTATGAATCATTAAAAATGTAAACTGATAAAATAGTCTTTAAGTGTCTTTGAACACTTATGTGCTGTCACTATATATTTACTATTTTTACAGGCCAACAATCCTGTACAAAATGTCCAGCAGGAAGTGAGTGTCCAAACAGAGGGACACCTGTCCAGTGCACTGCTGGTCACTACTCTGCGGAGGGGTCAGGGGTCTGTGAAGCTTGTCCCCCAGGATTCTACAGCTCAGCTGCAGGTAAGTCAGAAGGGGGGGGGGGCAGAGTTCACTGAAAAGAAAAACATACATGTATTCTGTTTAATCTTACTAAATGTACTAAATATTTGAAGCAATGATACGATATCATGTTTCACTACATGAAAAGGTGATTCGTAATTTCAACATGATTCATAATGATTTGGAGCAATAGTTGTTTTTAATTAAACTTTCTAAATTAAAAAATGTTCTTTTCCAATTTTTTTTCAATATTTCAAATTAAATTTTCATTCTCATATTCATCTGATCATTTGAACTTATCTGGTTACTGTAATTTTTCACATACATTTAGGTGCTAGTGTTTGTTCGTCATGCCCAGAGGGAAGTTCTTGTGCTGGTAACGGAACTTCTACCCCAACACCTTGTGCAGCAGGATATGTAGCCCCAGCCGAGTCCAGTACCTGTACTCAATGTGCCTCAAGTAGGTTATCTTGATGTAGAATTAATCATTGTTTATTCCTTTGATATTGAATTATAGATGATAACATCATTTAAAAATTATTTGTTTTATTTTTTTAAAAATTATGAAATTTTTAAAATTCAAAACATCCTTTCAAAAACTATGCAAAAATTATCAAATGAAAAATTCTATTCTTTTGAAAAGCTACCATCCTATACCTAGAAGCTTTTTGTGCAAGATCTGAAACAAAAGTTCTCCTGCTGGTAAAGCTTTAAAGATGTTATATATTTTTTCATATAAAAGGAAAATTCTATAATTTTCTCCTAGATATGAATTGCTATAAATCTAAAGCACCTTGTGATTTTGTCATAACTTGTTTTTACACTAGCTTTTCATTTAAAAATTATTTGTTTATGAAAATTATGAAATTTTTAAAATTTTAGTGTCTTCAGATGAAATTAAAATGAAATGTGCAATATTTGTTTCCCATTAGGTCCACACCAACTGACTGTGGCAGTGGAGAATATGCAATTCTTGGAAATGGAACCTGTACCCGCTGTCCCAGGGGAAGTTACTGTCCCACAAAGACCGCAGCACCTCTGGCTTGTTCCTCCAGTATGTGTTGTCTTTCTACTTAATAGTGTTTAAGAAAAGCAAAACTCTTGTTATAAGTGAAAAAAAACTATCTACATGTTAAATACAGAAAAATTGTAAAACAATTTTTAATTTTGAGTTGTGTTCTGTGGCTAATTTTCTTCGAAAAGAAATATATATGAACATTTCATATGAGTCTAAAGAGTATTTCTGTTTCGTGTTATTAGCCCAGTATTCAGGCGAGGGGGCTACATCATGTACTGACTGCCCCGTGGGTCACTCCTGTCCGACCCCAGACGCCACCCCGGTCCAGTGTGATCCAGGCCAGTACAGTGCTGCCGGAGGTAAGCAAAGGGTTAACAGAGAGCAATGCATGTACAAGTTAATTCTGTAGCATTAGAGTACATTGAAGTTGACATCTTACAAAAGCATGAATTATTTCAAAACCAGCAGATACCACAATATGGACTTAAAAAACACGGATTCATATTTTGGAGGCTTTTGCATGGATAACAATGCCTGAATTTGTGAATACCGCAAAGAAATCATAAATTTTACAACATACAACACATTATTGTGTAGCACTAATTCCTGAATATGCCAACAACTCCCTACCCCATGATTGTGTTTTAAAATTTTGAATGCACCAATTTATGTACTTATAGTATATATATATAAATGATTGATTTATTTCCCTGTGTTTTCAGTGATCACCTGTACAGACTGCGCAGCAGGGAAGTTCTGCCCTAATCCCTCGGCAGCTGAGACTGACTGTCCTGATGGATTCTGGTCCTCCACAAAACAAACGTCCTGTACCCAGTGTCCTAACGGGAAATACTGCTCCAAAACAGCCGAGACTGCGTGTCCTAGTGGTACCTACTCCCTGGGGATGGCTACAGCCTGCTCCTACTGTCCCGCTGGTAGGTCTCTTATGTGGTGTCGTAGAACAGCTGTTAGTAACTCAAAATCGGTCCATGGTTTATTTATCATTGTGTTTCAGCACCATACTACAAGTATATATAGCTTTCTAGGTTGGTGATATGGAAAAAATTCCTTAGATATTTTTGTTAGTTTATACATGGTATGCATTTTCTTGACAAATTGAAAGTTTTTGTTAAAGGTCTACCACACTTGATTTGTTGTACCAAGTAAAAGTAATAAAATATTTTCATTCAAATTAGGATATGAATGCACAAACCCTGCTGCCTCTCCTAATGCCTGTAATCCTGGAGAATATAACATCAATGGATCAACATCTGCCTGTACTATCTGTCCAGGAGGGTCAATGTGCCCTGTGACCACTGCTGCCCCAACACCTTGTGCTGCAGGTAACTTTCCTTCTAGTACTCGGGTTAGAGACAAACATATTGAGTGCTAAATGCAATAATAGCATATTTGAATTATTTTCTTATCATATTAAAAATTTGTAAGGTATATGTATTAGGCTTTCAAATTTTCTGAACATAGTCCAGCTCATCATATCTTCAATTTGGAGATCTGGTTAATAGAATCAGGTTTGTTTAAATGTATTACGTTGTGGTGGATCTGATTATTGTCTGATTCCAGAGTATATACATGTATTTTGCATTCATTATTTTATTGAAGCAATTAACTAGTGATTCATACAATTTATTATTTTGAGAATCACACCATACATGTTTACAATGTTAGGTTTCCTGAGTGGTACTGGACAAAGAGAGTGTATTCAGTGTCCAGCTGGGTATGCTTGTCCAGATAATACTGACCCCACCAAGAACTACGCCTGTCATGCTGGATCCTACTCTATTGCTGGACAAATGGACTGCACTGTGTGTCCCGCTGGAAAATACTGCCCCAGTACAAGGTAAGTCATTTTGAGTCATTGTATATTTCTGTAAGTGATTGACTTTGAACTCAAATTTTAGATTTTCATTTCTGTCTTAAAAAACATTATTTGTGGAATAGAAATAGAACAGTGTAAATATTTAAAATCACATTTTGCACAGCACAAATGACCTTAAAAAATAAATTTTTTGTTATCCAATACATGTATCTTTTAAACAAAAACATGAAAGAAAATTCAATTTTTTTTAGCTCCTCCAATGAGATTCCTTGTCCGGGAGGAACGTACTCCACTGGTAACAGCTCTTCCTGTACTAAGTGTACCCCTGGGGAGGTGTGTCCTAATGCAGATGGGACAGGAATCCAGACCTGTCTTCCTGGGACGTACTCTGTAGCGGGGTCAGCGGCCTGTGTGGACTGTCCGGCTGGGTCGGCCTGTCCTTCCACCAACTCCTCCCAACAGATACAGTGTCTCCCGGGGACGTACTCACTGACAAAAGCTACGGAATGTACACCCTGTCCTGCTGGATTGTAAGTGTTGAGCATATGTAGAGACCAATATTCTGAAAAGAAAACATATACCGTATAGCGGGTTATTTTAGAGGGGTGCTAATTATGGATTATTTTGGCGTTTTGATGATAGTTTGCTAAAATTTTTATTGCTAAAATAGTTAGTATGCATCTTAATGTCCATCTGCAAAGAGCTGAAACCTGCGTCTTCTAAAATAAATTACGTCAAAATTATTGGCATAACTTTGAGCAGCAAGATGCCAAATTTTACACGCGTCAAGAAAACCCGCTATACGGTATCTTAATTTGCTGAAAATTAAAATATTGTATTTGTGGAAGTTCTAAAGAAGTTTGCTCTGCCTGTCCTCTTGTAATCCAGCAAAACGGAGGTTCAAGAGACTGTAGGGCAGTGAAACCACCATTTGTCAAGGTTTTTGATTTCATGAATATTACAACTTGTCTTTCTTTCAGTGCATGTCCGATGACAAACCAGGCCACCCAGGTTCCCTGTCAGGATGGGACTTATTCTGTGGGTAACCAGACTGCCTGTATCAGCTGTCCATCTGGCTATGAATGTCCAGACTCCTCCACCAACAGCACGTAAGTATCAGCTAGGGTTTATTTTTATCGAGCATAAGACTATTTAGTTAACATTTTGAACAGGGTAGAAAAGTTTTTATTATTGAATGCATTTAAAATATTGATCTTATGGTGCATGTTTATTGATGTAACTAGATGAAAGACTCTGTTATAAATTCTTTTTTGCATGATTGAATCTTTCTCTTCTAAAACAAAATAAACCTAAGGGAATAAGTAATAGCTTTGTCACAATGGACTTTAATTTTTTCAGCACTGCCTGTCAGCCAGGCTACTACTCTCTGGGAGGCCAGAAGACGTGCACCATGTGTGATGAGGGCTACAGGTGCCCCAATACCTACGAGGGTCAGACAGTGTGTCCCCCAGGGTTCTACAGCGCAGCCGCCTCCACCAACTGTACCGGATGTGAACCAGGGTACTACTGCCCTGAACCAGAACGTAAGAAATTAGGAATAATTGCTGCATGGTACAAGTTACTGTGTGTGTACTTAAAACTTTCATAGTTTAGTGGCTTTGGCACAGACGAGGATGTGCTAATTCATGAATACAGTGAAGAACTCATTTATAAGTAGAATATATGGCATGAACGTGTGTAGCGCTAATTCATGATCATGCCAACAACTCTATTTGATTGCGCTAAATTTTGAATACTTCAAATTATGTACACGCACAGTATCTTACTGATTAAACTAGGCTAAAAATGCAGAAAGGACATCCGAAAATGTACTTACATTAATATAAATTTTTAGTTTGTCATTTTTTTTTCCACAAAAAATTGCTGAAATATTCTACAATACAAAATGACATAGCAAATATAAAATAAAATGAAATGACTATGTTTTTGTAATGCCAAATTAAAAGTTTGCTCTTTTCTATTTGTCCTCTATCTGTTTACAGAAACCAGGAGAGCAGAGTGTCCCCCTGGATACTACTCTAACGGTGGTGCCATCTACTGCACTCCATGTTATGCTGGTTACACCTGTTCTATGGGGTCCACTAACGCCACCCCTGCTGCTGACATCTGCCAGGCTGGGGGATGGTGTGATGGCAAGAACTTCTTCCGTTGTCCAGCTGGAACATACAATCCTCATAATGGATCCATTGACTCCACTGCTTGTGTCCTCTGTCCTCCAGGTAATGTCATTTAACCTCTTATTTCCACTAATTTACCTGTAATTTGGGTTCGTTTTCAATGTTGAATTCAACCTTTTTAATTGAATATTTAGCAAACTTTTGCTGCTCTTACCAAATAAATACGTTAAAAAAAAACACAATTCAACTTTACAAATTGCTTTTTTTATATTTTATATGCAGCCTGTTTGATTTTTCAGACAACAGGGTCCTATTACACTTATCAGTATCTATGACATCAACCTTTATATTGTAGGATACTACTGCCCTGGTCCAGGTGATACCTCCTACACACAGTACCCCTGTCCTAAAGGCCATTATTGTCTTGAGGGAACCACAGTCAGTACACAGTACCCTTGTCCTGGAGGCTCATATAATCCTGATGACAATTCCACCAGTGAAACTGCTTGTCAGCCTTGTCCATCCGCAAAATACTGCCCCAAAGGCACCACAGACACAGGGGTGGACTGCCCCCGGGGATTCTACTGTACTGGGGGACAATCCTCAGGCTTCCAGCATCCCTGTCCAGTGGGGACATACGGCCCAGATCTTGGATTTGACAGTAAGTTATTTTTCAGAAATTTTTTTTGAAGAAGAGGATCATATTTTACTTATATTTTAAGGACTTTTTTTAACTGTAAAAAGAATGAATATGAAAAAAATATGTTTGTTTTTTGTTAATGCAGTCCAATTATTGATACTGGGCTATTGGAAGAATACCTGTTGAAAAATTCTGCAGGAAAACAGTTGGTTATGTTATAATATAAAGAAATTTCACTGTATAACAAAATCAATAGTTTATAATATATATCTCTTCTGTTTTCAGATGAGACACAGTGTATCCCCTGTCCTGCTGGATTTTACTGCCCTGGGGGTACAGAGTCCCAGCCCACTACTGCCCCCACCCCATGTGAGCCTGGTACCTACAACCCTGACGCTAACACAGGCCACCCACTCAACTGTCACAAGTGTGACATTGGCTTCGCTTGTCCTGAGATCAACCACACAGCTTCTGTTGTTCCATGCAAAGCAGGTAAAAAGACATATTCTGGGGTCTTTGTTTGACTTCAAGCAAATGTGGTTAGCTTAGTTGTTGACATTGCTCAGATAATTTTAGAGGGAAGAGGAAACTTGGTTCATTACGTGATCAAAAAACATTTCTCTGAAGAATTTTCAGCAAATAAAACAAGTCTCTCAAATGTTAAAGATAGAATGCATCTAATGTAGGAATGATAGTAAAATTTTACTACATGTACTTGTAACATGGATGTTCTGTTTTAGGTTACTACTGTCCCCTGGGAACTATAGCAGATGACCAGTACCCCTGTATCCCCGGGACCTACAGTGATAAAACTAACCTCTCATCAGCTGATCAGTGTGATGCTTGTCCAGAGGGAAAATACTGTGAATGGGGAACAAGTAAGGGCCAGTTCTGTTAATTATAAACAACTAATTAATAAATGGAGAAAATTATGAGTTGTAGGGATCAAGAAAGTTAAGACAAAAACATCCAAGCTATACAGGGGTAGATAATTGAAATGGGGCACATGCATGTGAAAAAAAAAGCATCTTGGCTATTGAAATATTTGTTATTTTCAAAACAGGATAAGATTTCTTTAAATTTCATAAAAGTGCTAAAAGTAGATACATGTAATAAGTAAATAATTAGTTGATATTAAAAATGCATATTATTTTATTTTTAGACAATTCCACCAATCCTCCAAAACCCTGCTGGCCTGGATTCTACTGTCCACTTCAGTCTCCCTCCCCAGAGAAGTTCCCCTGCCCCGCGGGGACATACTCAGACCGGGCAGATCTGTATGAGGCATCTCAGTGCTACACCTGTCCCCAGGGTTACTACTGTGAAGGTAAAATATATTTTAACAGACAATTGAAATGACATATTTTGATACCATGATATATTTTTAAGCATAAATGAAAGTTCTTTTTCGCTGCGAAATATAACCCTGATATTAAAACTGAACTCCTACCCTTTTAATTTTACAGGGAGGGGGGTTCAAAATATTATGGCCATATAATATTGACCCCCCCCCTCCCTGTAAAATTAAATGGGCCTGGATTTTATGGCCATAATATTCTCCCTCCCCAGAGAAATTTAAAGGACAGGGGAGTTGATATTTTATGGCCATAATATTTTGAACCCAGATCTGTAAAATTAAAAGGGCATCTCAATATTTTATGGCCATATACATGTCCCCAGGGTTCAATATTTTATAGGGGGGTTCAATATTTCGCAGCGATATTCTGAACCCGGATTCAAAATATTGTGGGGTTCAATATATTATATGACACCGGGCAACAACACAGGAAGAGAGCTACTTACTAGAAACAGCCAAAGTTTATTATATCCAGTTGATAAATCATTTTTTATGACAAATTTATGACTCACTAATTATGACTTTAGTATAAGCATGTACTCCATTTTAGATATGTTTGCTGTGAACTTCTTTTCATGTTTAAAGAAGTTTCAAATAAATTCTTAGTTCTTAATAAATTGTTTATCATGTATTCAAGGTGGAGCCAGCAGCACATCTGGTATCTGTCCAAGAGGTTTTTACTGTCCAAATGGCACCAAGGCAGGAACTGAGTATGGTTGTCCTAATGGAACCTACAATGATGTAGAGGGACTGTATGAAGAGGCCCAGTGTAAAAATTGCTGGCAAGGTAGAGTGGGATGCTATTTGATTAAAATTTATGAAATATTCATTTAAAAAGATCATGAGATTTGAAATATTTTATCATATATTCAGATGCTTTTTGCCTATTGTATTTTTTATTTTTGTTCCTTCAGTGTGAATTATGAGCAAGAATTGTTCAGTTTTTCTTCAGCTTTTCATTTTTTTTTGTCTCCTCCAGGTCACTATTGTGAGTTTTCAGTCTCAGCCCCAGTACAATGTAAAGCTGGTACCTACATGCCATATGGATTTAACCGAACAAGTAATAATCTTGTTGGACCAGGTATCTATTGCTTTAATTCTCTTTTTAAAACCAAGTCAATGACTATGGAAACTTTGATTTATTTCACTTGAAATGTTAGCAGTCCTCTCTTAATTCAAAATGTTGTGCATTTTAAGGCCAACCTGCTAAAAGACAGTTTGAATGTATCACCTGTCCTGGTGGATTCTCTTGTCCAATAGGGACAATACATCCCTACGACTGTACTGTGGGTTTCTATTCCAAACCGGGACAAGAAATCTGTGAAACTTGTAGAATAGGGTTAGTATATGGTGAAATGGGACAAAGAGAAGTGTAAAGTTGTATTTAAACATTTAAGATTTTAAGCCATTTTTTCATTTTTTTTTGAAAGATTTTCATGTACAATTCTAGATGTAGAATAATTGTTTTTTTGAATTTATATAATCTTTCATACACAGAATTATTTTGAAAAGCCCTGCACTTGATATTTATAGACATTATTGTGACAACTCGTCCACCTCAGAAGATGCAATGGTCAACACAAAGAAATGTCCACCTGGTCGATACTGTCTGGCTGGACTGACCAAGGAACCTGATGCTACTGACTGTTCTGTTGGAAGATACTGTCCAGAAGGTAAGCTTATTGAACTGTAATAGACCATTATGCTTTCATCATACATGTATTGGAAGGAGTCTATTTGGTAAAATTTAAATTTTTTACAGGAATTTAATCATGCAGAAAAAAATCCATTGAGAGCAAAATTTGGAAATAAATTTTTATGCCATTTCTGTAAAAATATTCAATAGTAAAGTGTTACAATTCTATTTCTACCACTCTCATCATATCATTTATAAATTTAACCAGGAACTGTGGAAGAGCTGAAGTGTCCAGTGGGAACAATTCGTCGCACTACGAATGCTCATGATGTTGACACCCACTGTGAGCCCTGCCCCGCCGGTTACTATTGTCTGGAGGGGTCGTTTACAGAGACAGGGCCATGTGAAACAGGATATTACTGCCCCACCAACTTTACCAATCCATACGGTGTTCATCCTCCTACAATTGGTGCCTATGGAGCTAGACAGGTAAAATCTAAAGCCATTGTCATTCAAGATGTCAATTTTTGCTAGTGATTCCATATGTTTTTTAATTCAATAATATGTCCCAGAAATCACAGACTTGTTTGTTTCTTTATGGTGCATGTAAAGTATTTTTCTGAAGGCATTCTTGTAAAAACATAAATACATTTGATAAAATTTTCCGAACCTTTTCTGTCACAGGTGCCCTGCCCAGAAGGAACCTACACCAGTGTGACGGCCACACCAGATGTGGGTAGTTGTCAGACCTGTCCAGCTGGCTACTACTGCCCCCTGGCCTCCAGCTCACCCACTGACTGCCCCCGAGGATCATACTGTGTGGCTGGGTCCTCCAAACCAGAACCCTGCCCCATTGGCAGATATGGAAATACATCATGTAAGCCAGGAAAATTAAGACAAAAAAAATGAGATGCAGATTGTTTGTTTTTTTTTTGTTTGTTTTTTTTTTTTTTTTTACAAATTCATATATTTTGTGGTTCACAATTAAATGTGATGTCAAAGAATTTGTAATTATTAATAAGTAAACAATTTAAAATTTTAAAAAAATATATATAGAGAGAAGTTAAATAGGATAGTGAAAACTATATGGAAACTTGTGTGTTTACTATGAACAATGTGTCTATAAGAACTTTATTTTATTTTTATCCTGTACTTTTTCAGTGTTGACTGCTCTGACTGAGTGCCCCCAGTGTGACCCTGGCTGGTATTGTGATGCCCCGGGTCTCCTACAGCCCCGCTCACCCTGTGACCCAGGATATCTCTGCTACTTGGGGGCCTCCACTTCAGCTCCTACAGATGGGGTGACAGGAGAGCTTTGTCCCAGAGGAGGATTCTGTGTGTCGGGTAGGAGGGAGAAAATAAAATATGATAACCTCTTGTATGAAATTTCTGATTATTACTAATGCTATCTTGTAAGATTCAGTATTTCTTACTTTTCATATTGTTGAGAGTTGTTTGAAAAAAAAGAGACATGCTTTTCCATTATGATGTAATTGAATGTGTTGGCTTTCTATTAAACTCTCCTATTTTTAAGGATCTTATGTGGCTGAACCATGTCCTCTGGGAACCTACAGCAATGTATCAGGAGCTGTGAACAACTACGAATGTTTTGATTGTGATGCTGGGTACTACTGCTCCTCAGTGGCTGGTGGGGCACCCACAGGGGCATGCTGGGGAGGATATTATTACAGTAAAACACGGTTATAGCGAAGTCCTGGGGACATGTGAATTTAATTCGCTATATCCGTAATTCGTTATATCCGTATAACGAATTCGTAGGAATGTTTTCCTTCAAGTGCCAAATATGTTGGGGAAGCAAATATTACAAAACAACCCCCACACAACATATCACTGATCCTGGTATGTGTCTGAAGCATTCATTTTGATAATAATTGAAAATGATTCAATCAGTATTAATCACCATGAGTATTAAGATATACATGTACAATTTTCTTACTATATAAGAATTTCAGAGCTAATTGTATATGCAGTAATATTTTAGGTCCTTTCATACAATGACATGACAGTATATATTCCTGGTATTTGCCAGTCTTAGAGAACTGTTTGTCAAATCTTTTACAGGAAAATTTGCTCCCAATGGCTCCATGGCCCAGTACGAGTGTTCGATAGGGACCTACATGCCTTACAATGGCTACGCTGAGTGTTTCGAATGTGAGCCTGGTTTTTACTGTCCAGACAAAGGAATGACCAATAGAACAGCCTGTCCAGCTGGTTATTACTGTGGAAACGGAAGCTATGTCCCAACAGCTTGTGAACCTGGATACTTCTCTAATGAGTAAGTCACTTGCTGTGTTAGACTATGTTATTCATTTGGCCTATAAGTACTGTGTTATGTTTGCAGTATTTGCTGAATTTAATGAATGAAAAATTTAATGCTTTCAGAACACATAAGACCAATATCAGTGATTGTCAGCCTTGTCCGCCAGGTCGATACTGTCAGAATCGAGGTGCCACTGAGGTGACCGGGAAATGTAAGGCAGGACACATCTGTTACGGGCTGGCTTTGTATGACGACCCAGTCTACAACAACGACACGTCCGGAAACAAGACTGCGATCCTGTGGGGAGACACCTGTCACCCCGGGTATTATTGTCCCGAGGGGACCTCTGTCATGGTGCCCTGCCCTCGAGGTACCTACAATCCAGACAGAAGTGGAACCTCAGAGGCAGCCTCCTGTAAACCTTGTGACCCGGGAAAATACTGTAATGGAACAGCCCTGACAGAAGTCACAGGTCAGTCTATCTACACCTCCATCTGTCTTTCATTCTTTGATCACTGTAAAGGAATTAAGATTGGTATTTTTGCATGTAGATTTGTTTTCTTTCATAAAGAGCATATGTGCCTGAAAATGATCTTTATCTACAAACATTAGTAAATGAATATGGATTTTTAAACAATTTGTAATTTACTTTGAAAACTAATACCTGGTATGCTGAAGCAAAGTCTGATTGGTGGTACCTATATTTGTGTAAAAATATATATTTGTATGTCTGTAGGTGACTGTTCGGCTGGATATTACTGCACAGGTGGGGCTTGGATTCCTGACCCCATAGACAACACGACCGGTAACATCTGTCCTATTCATCACGTATGTACAGCTGGATCAGACACCCCCAAAACCTGTTCTATTGGTTATCATGCTAATAGTACGGGGATGTCTGCCTGTCAGCTGTGTATGGCTGGATTTTTGTGTAGTCCTGGAACTGAACCAGCACTTTGTCCAATGGGTAAGAATGGAATTTACTTCCGATAGCTGACACTTATTATTAAGATTTTTTGGTATTTAAAACATTGACCTCTGGATTGTAAATGATATACCAAATAATTTCAAACATTTAGGAGAAAATTATAGCATTATCCCAGAACTAAATCTTACTTACTTGAGAGGTGTCTGCATTTATTAGCAAAGAAAAAGTTTTAAGAAAGTTGAATTAACAATGTATTATGAGTGTCATTTTGGATTTTAAGGTTACTACTGCTTGGCCAGTACAGTCCTGATCCCAATCTCACAAGGAACTCCTTGTCCCGTGGGAACATTTGGAGACAAGATGGGATTAACAGAGGAAAGCAACTGTACTCAGTGTCCTGCTGGAAAATACTGCGAGACTACAGGTATGTTAAACTCATTAAACATGTTAACTGGCAAAGTTTGCTCACATTAAAATGTTTTTCACTGTAACCATGAATACTGAAAGGCATGTACAGAAATAATATACATGTATGTGGCAATTTATTAATAATGAAATTTGTACCAAATACCTTGAAACACCATGAATTCTAAGTAGAATGAAGCTCTACTGTGAGTCTCTTTTACATACTGTAATTAGTAATGATTCCACTGTAGGATTGACCAACTACACTGGCCTGATAAGTGCTGGACACTGGTCAAGGTATGGATCTGGAACAAGAACTCCACTTGTTGATGACAGTGCGATCCTGGGTATCTGCACCAAAGGCCACTATTGTCCCGAGGGAAGTGAAATCCCCACAGCCTGTCCCTCAGGAACTTATGGGTAAGGAAAGCTTTATCGACCATATTATAATTTTTATATTGAGACATGGTTGAAATAGAAACTGATGAAGGAAAACATCCTAGGAAATGTCTTCACCTTGTACTGAAAATCATTAATTCTTAGCTGTATGCATTTAATTTTAAAAGAAAATGCACTATGGTTAAGTAATTTGATTGGTGCTGATCAAACTTTTGTTTTCAGTATTCAATGATTTAACTGTAACTTTATTTTGCTAAGACCTCATAATAAGATAGGTTCTTAACTTATGTTTTTTTTGCAATATGACCTTTGTTATACTGCCTGATTAAATGTATGAGTTTGGTTTGTGTGTACAGAGATAGCTGGAAGCTGACCTCTCTTGCCGCCTGCGATGCCTGTGATCCTGGTACATACTGCCCCATCACCAACATGACAGCGACGGGAAGTCAGTGTGATGCAGGATTCTACTGTAGTGGGGGGTCACCAGAGAGTGCCCCCGTCAATAAAACATGGGGAGATGAGTGTCCCGCAGGTATGTCTTATTGGATTATAATAGCTGTAAAGAATTTCTCTCGTGCCATGGAAAAGCGCAGCCTCTCCACAATTTTTTAAACATTATTTTTTTCCCCCTTGCTTTGCACAATAACACTTCTGAAAAAGTTTTTGAAGTGAACTTCTTTACAAATTAATTCATTTGTGTCGTGATAAATAGCGGATACAGTAAAACTCGGTTATAGCGAAGTCCTGGGGACCTGTGAATTTAATTCACTATATCCGTAATTCGTTATATCCGTATAACGAATTTTTAAAACAATTATAGCAAATTTGCAATATGCATGCTTTCCTTCAGGTACTACTACCAAATACTAGTATGTTAGGGAAGCAAATGTTACAAAACATATCTTCGATAACTAAGGTTTTATTATGAATTGAATTTTATATACAAATGCTAAAAGGAAGTAAAGACAGTTCAATTTATCAATTTTTTTTATTATCTTTGAAAGTTCGTTATAAAAGATGTAAATTTCATTATATCTAAACTCAACGGGACTCAAAATCAGTTCGCTATATCTGTAAATTCGTTACATCAGAGTTTGTTATAACCGTAAAATTTTACAAAGATTTGTTAAGAATTTTGCTGGGGACCCAGAAAAACTTCACTATATCCGTAAATTTGCTATATCCGTGTTCGTATTAAACGAGTTTTACTGTAAACTGTTTTTATATACATCTGTACTTGTCCTAGACTTAACTTTTATATTTATTTATCAGGTTCCTATTGTCCTGCTGGATCATCAGCACCAATTCCATGTCCAGCTGGAAAGTACACCAATTCCACCCGAACGGTCACCTGCCTGGACTGTCCCATCGGTCACTACTGTGTTATTGGCACCAGTGACCCTGTCCCTTGTCCAGAGGGCTTTTGGTGTCCAGTTAGGTCTGTGTCGGCTAATCTCAATCCATGTCTGATAGGACAATATTTGAACACAACAGGAGGGCAGAAGGCTGCAGATTGTCTGAGTTGTTCACCAGGGTAAATATCTTCAAAACACAACCCTTTCCCCTTTAATTTTGAAATGACATTTTTATTCTGTTCATGAAGCAAGAAACATGTACTGTATTAAGTTACTTTTCAAGTCTTTGAATGAATTTGTTACAGTAAATACTGTGAGACCACTGGGCTGTCCACACCAACAGGAAATTGTGATGGTGGGTGGTACTGTACAAGTGGAGCCACTGTGGCCCGTCCCACCATGACGGCACAAGGTGGGCAGTGTACCGTAGGAAACTTCTGTCCCAACGGCAGCTCAGCAGAAACACCCTGCTCCCCAGGAATGTACTGTGACAATGTTGGTAGGTATCTATTCAGATTTTCATTGCTTGTGTTATTTTTTGATGGTTTTTGGGTTGCTTAGAGGGATTTTAAAATGATAATGTTTGTTGTTTTTATAGAGTTATCTGCTCCTGTTGGTAACTGTTCTGCTGGTTACTTCTGTTCCTCTGGATCCACAAACTCCACACCAGTTAGCCAGGTGTACGGTGAGTAAATCACATTTACATGTAAATGTATTTTGGAACTGAAAGGGTAAATTTCATCTAAGACTTGAAGGGAAGTCTTGATAAACTTAAGGTAAAATTTTGAATATGATGCTTTTTTTGAGTTGCATTTTAATAATATCATTTGTATTTTAAAATTTTTTTATCACAGAATCTACAAGGCAGATAAAGTGGCACTCTGCTTCACATGAAATATTTTGATTTGCAATGTTTTAATTTTTTACAGGTGACCTTTGCCCACCGGGAACCTACTGTCCAGCTGGAAGTTCTGCTGGAACCAACTGTCCTCCGGGAACCTACCTGAACACCACAGGTGCCCAGAGTGAGTCAGATTGTCAGACCTGTGTCCAGGGCTCTTACTGCAGTGGGTACGGGAACACCTATCCTACCGCCGAATGTGATGCGGGCTATTACTGTCCAGCCGGAATGAACATCTCCAACCCATCAGAGTACACCTGTCCTCAAGGTAAAACTGGAATCCAGTTACAATGAAGACAATAAATATTTGGGGGGTTGATTTATGTACTAGTTAATAAAATTTGTCATTCACAAAGATGCAATGCATGGTTTTAAAAAAGCTTGTCTTATGGTATTGAGATGTTTGAAGGAATATGAGACAAGATCAGATCATATTCAATTTTGTTGATTAGATTAGATTAGTTTTAACTGTAAAACATTGGTATTGTTTGTAGGTCATTACTGCCCCCAGGGTAGCCACACCCCCACTCGCTGTAGTTCTGGTACCTACCAGGATCAGACAGGTCAAGGTTCCTGTGTCACCTGTCCGGCCGGATTCTTCTGTGACAACACCATGGCTCCAGTCGTCCTCTATAATAGCTCCTACTGCCCTATTGGTAAGGAACTCTTAGTTTAAACAGACTATGTGTGATTCACTGATAGTAAAATTTAAAGTGCCTTTCTACAACATTGATATGTGCTCTAGCTTCAAATATCGACTATAAAATGATTATTGAAGAAAAAATGTTAATTCAATAAAAGCGTTTACTTTACTGAGTACCGTATTTGGCCGAGTATAATACGCATTGATGTAAAATACGCACCCCCCTTTTTGAGTCTGAAACTGGGGAAAAAAACGCAGTTCGGATGTATTATACGCAACAGAAAAATTTACCAAGCGGTGTTCTGAACTTTGAAAATCGGTAATTTGTTACGAAAATCGGCGCGAGGATTAAGTGTCAAAAATTTACTGAACACACTTTTTTTTAAAAATACACACTTTATAACTTCTCTTAATCCTGACATTCCATATCGCGGCAATCTGGAGAAAATTATTTATTCATTTATTTCAACGAAGTACAAGATAATATTGCGTAAAAGTATTAACAGATTTTTTTAAAGAATAGTTACGGTGATTTTGAAGTAATGCGTCGCCATATTCTTAGATGAAATAATTTTATTTCAACAAAGCAAGAGATATTGTCGAAAGTTTTATCAGTTGTCATATTTAATTTTGGTTCTAGATAATCATGCTGAAAATTATCTGACAATATTTTAACAGGAAACGAAATTGAAACATCAAAGTATTTATTTCTTTAAGAAGACTACGATTTTCCTCTTCTAAATCTTCACAGATATCTTATTTTCTAAATGATACCACTTTTATTAAAAGTTTTAGCATAATTTATATTTCATTTGTCAACTCTCAATTATTTAAACAAGAGGCCGATAAGTATAAGATAAGGTAAAATTACATTTAACAAGTGTTTAATTGTTTGAAGTGCCGTAATCAACACATGCTCACACATACGAAAGGTCATAAACCGACCCCCCTTTTTAACAAAGAAAATAATCAAAGCAATTAACATGGCAGTAAATAATCAGTGCTGTAACTGTAAAAACATTGCTTTGGAGTCGGTAGACATTTAATTGCCCAGAGGGGCTTAGAGGGATTTTAAAATGATAACTGTTGATAGGTAATTATCATTTGACAAGCGCACGTGTGTCACAACATTGGCTTCCTTTCATTGGGACGTATGGAGGGGTGTTAAATATTGTTGCAGATTATCAATGAGTTATTTTAAACCTAAAATTAATATTTATTTTATTGTATTTCATTAAAAAATTATTTATTACTATGTCTGGCAGATAAGGTGCATGTGCATTATCATTACGAAAACACGTGACATAAGCATGAGTTAACGTCTAAAAATAACATCGGTAATGGCGGCCTCCTCGGAGACAATCAACATGCAGCTCAAATTACTTTTAACTTACTTTTTCATGTTATTTTGGTATCAAAAGATTGTGAAAGTGACATTTTTAAGAAGCATACCTTCCAACAATAACTTTCCGAAGTTTAAAATATAGCAATAAACAAAAGAAATTGCATATGTCTCTAGGTAATACTACGGTATGTACGTATGATAGCCGTGTTTCACCTGAAAGAAAAACTTGTCAAAATCCCATTGTGATGTAAAATACGCATCCCTTTCTCACAGTAATTTATTTTAGGAAAAAAGTGCGTATTGTATTCCCCAAAATACGGTAATTTTTACTGATGCAGTGTCCATTACAATATATTGTATTCTGTTGTTTTAGGATACTACTGCCCTGCGGGTACGAGGTATTCGAGCCAGTATCCCTGTCCTAGTGGGACCTTTGGTAATGTGACGGGTATGCAGGCTGTAGGGGACTGTATACAGTGTCCAGGAGGGTACTATTGCGACATGACGGCTCAGACCACCTTCACACAAATCTGTCAGGCCGGGTCAGTCCTAGATTTATACTTACCTTAATAAATGTATTGTACTGAACAATTATCTATTGAAAGGTCTTAAGCAGAGATTGTACTTTGTTTTAATTCTCACTTAGTCATTCATGGACTTGTGTATTTTCTTACTGTGTTTCTTCAGTTTTCAAAAGAAGAGATATGTAAAGAGTACAATGTATTCATTATTTGTTGTTCTTCTGTGTAGGTATTACTGTAGACAGGGGGCCAAGTCTGGAACTCCCAGCCAGGGTACGGATGCTGATGAATGTCCAGCGGGCTACTACTGCCCAGTCCAGACCACAGATCCCCAGAAATGTCCTCAGGGAACCTACTCTAATGCCACCAAACTGACAGCAGTCACAGAATGCACCAACTGTACAGCTGGTCAGTACTGCCTTTGTCTTGTGTAGATTCAAGTAGATTTTGTGTCAGATTCTTTGTAATGACCATTAGTGTGTTATTCAGGTAGATGCACACAATAGAATTTTTTACCTTTCTGTATAATGAAATTGTTTGGAAACATTTAAGAGAAAATTGAATTGCACAAACTTCTGGCTAATTTACAAATAAAAATTATTTTATACATAACCAGTATGTATGAAAGTAACTATGCATTTAAAACACATTCTCAAGAATTATTGAACTCAAGGGTGATGACATATATCATTCCAACTCCATTACAGGTAATGTAGATGTTAACTTATGGATATTTATACTTGCAAATATAAAAATATGTTTCTGTTTTATAAGGAATGTACTGTGGCTCTACAAACCTGGTGGAGCCGAGTGGCACCTGTTGGGCTGGATATTACTGTCCAGAGTCCTCTACATCACCTACACAAGTGGACTGCCCTGTGGGAGCTTACTGTCTCAATGCCAGCTCTAGTTTTACTCTTTGTCCAAAAGGTAGGCACCAAAGTCTACAAGATTTATGTTAATTAGTACTGTTATATTTTTTGTCATATTAGTTCTTTTTAACATAAAATTTTATTGAGGAGTTGTGAATAAATCTGAAACTGATTAAGACATAACCTTGTTTTAAGCACATCA